GCACTCATGTCATACATGTGTGGGCACGCATGCCATAGCACTCATGTAGGGTGTGTGATTGGTCATCTACCTGTACATGGGTCCCAGTGATTGAACTTGGGTCACCAGGCTCCTATAGCAAGCACCTTTACCTGCTGAGCCATCTGGCTGGTCCGTAAATAACTATGACCTTTGACATTCATCAACAAATGAGTAGGTAAAGAAAACATAGAATAAAGTAGCTGAAATGGCCCTTGTTGGGAGAGCTTAGCCTGAACAATTCCACACAGTGGAATTTTATTCAGCCATTTAAAAAAAAAAAAATGTTTTCAGTAGAAATAAAGGTTATCCTGCCAAATGAGATGAGCCAGACCAAAAAAGATAGTAGATGTTTTCCTCATATACACAGTTGACTTACACACACACACACACACCCCTACACACCTGACATGAAAGTGAGAAGGCTGTTGCAGGCAGGAAGAAACCGGGAAAGGGAGAGGACGGGGGGGCGGGGGGGGGGTCGGGGGGAGGAATGCAGGGTAAGCCATGGGTGTGTGCGCCCACTGCAACCAGACTGCCTGCTCTGTGTGTGAATTGTGGACAGGGAACGGCTGTGACACAGGCATCCCTCTGAAAGCGTGCTGTCACATCTTGCTTTTGACTGGTGGCACTTCTGTAGGACACTGGTGTGACTGATTTCCCCTTTCTGTTTTAGATAAGAGAAGTAAAGCTCTGAAAGGTAAGATGTCTGCTTTTTGGAATGTTTGAGGTGAAAAAGACCATCTTAGCTTTTCAAAATGAGTTCTATGAATCCTGAGTTAAAACTGACACCTGGTTCAGTAATGGTCAGATAGAGAGGAAATATTAAATAAAGATCAAGAAGTTTGCAGCTGACCTTCAGTCCCAGTACTTGGGAGGCAGAGGCAGATGGATCTCTGAGTCCCAGGACAGCCAGGGCTACACAGAGAAGCCCTGTCTCAGAAACCAACCAAACAAAATGTTAAAAAGCAAAACCATACGTAGCCCTTTGGGCCAAGTTACACTTCTGGCAATGACAGAGAAATTGGGTAGCCGATGCCATTAGGAAGGGACAGGCTGGCTGGGCAAACATGCTGCTGAAATCCTGATGTTTCCATGTAATTTTGAAGGAAAATGACTGTAAATGTTGTGCCCTGGCACTGGGTGTCTATTCTGTTTCTCTGGTGGCAGTGAGACTGCAGTCATGTGAGCTTACACAAACCTGGGGCTGACTCCTGAGCTTTGGGAAGAGAGCTTTCTCCACCCCTCCAGGTGAATGCTTGAGCAGCCTCACTTGCACAAACCTGGAGCTGTGCTCAGTGTTTCCCACTGAAGTGGCCTGCATCCGAATTCTGGATGGCTTTTTTGGTTGGTTGGTTGGTTGGTTGGTTGGTTGGTTTGGTTTGGTTGGTTGGTTGGATTGTGGGGAGTAGGGCTTGTTTTTAAGGTAGAGTCTCAGAAATCCTGTTGCCTCTGCCTCCCAAGTGTTTGGATGAAAGGTGTGTACACCATGCCCAACCCCCATGCTTTTTGTAGCATTAAAATGAATATTTGCATTTTCTGACTTGTTACTTCAAACAATAAGCTATATTCTGTACCACTAAACTGTACCACTTTGTTTCTCTCCCTCAAAGGCTCCAGTCCTGCACCTGCCCATGGCCATCACTGACTGCTCCCTGAGTCCACTCAAGATGAACACGTCAGCTGAACTGAAGCCAGCTGTGTTAGATGGGAACACGGAACATCGCTGTCCACACACCTAGTACTATTTACAATGTGGCATTAATAAATGTGTCTGAGAAGCCCCACTCCCTGTGGCTACCACTCTCTGCTTCCCCTGAATAAGTCCTTGGTAATGCAGCAGGCTCTGTCAGAACCTCTGAGCCACCTTCATTAGGAAGCCTGAAGAACGAGAAGCAGTGTTTGTTGCATAAGATATTAACTTTGATTCCAGTATTCAATAATTGTTTGTCAAAAGGTTTTGCTTCTGCCTATCACCTGACCTCTGTGTCTTGTTTTCATATTTTGAGAAAGAAGATGTTAATTATTTTAAGGGATTTCTTACTAGGATCAATAAGAAGGTAAGGGGAAAACACATCATTAATCCCAGCTGAAGCAGGGAGAATCCCAAGTTCAGGAGTTCAAGGCTTGCTTAAGCTACTGAAAGCCCTGTCTGAAAAAAGAAAGTTTAGAAAAAAGCCAGAAGGACGGCCACATGGGTGGTTAAGACCACATCACTTGCCGGGCGGTGGTGGCGCACGCCTTTAATCCCAGCACTTGGGAGGCAGAGGCAGGCGGATTTCTGAGTTCGAGGCCAGCCTGGTCTACAGAGTGAGTTCCAGGACAGCCAGGGCTATACAGAGAAACCCTGTCTCGAAAAAAAAAAAAAGACCACATCACTTGCTGCTCTCCCAGAGGACCCAAGTTTGGTTCCCAGCACCCACATCAAGCAGCTCACAGGTACCTGTTGGCTCTGGCTTCAGCAGACTCAACACCCTGTTTGGGCTCCATATGCATATAACATGCCCATGTATACCCATCGATAAGAAATTTAACGGATAGAAGGCTGGTGTGATAGTTTGGTGGGTAAGGATGCATGTTCCCAAGCCTGATAGATAACCTGAGTTTGATTCCCAGAGCCTAAGTAGGGAAAGGAGAAAGCCAGCTCTCGGAAGTTCTCTGACCTCCTCCTGTGCATGATCACATGTTTGCACACATTCTTTTTAATGGGAAGGTAGCCTTAGAGCACATGGTAGGCATAATCTCTGAGCAAAATTATATCCAAGTAATTAATCATAGGGCAAAATAAGCAGTGTGAAAAAAACACAATGACCTGTGTTGCACACCTATAGCCACGGTGTGAGGGAAGCTGAGACAGGAGGGTCACAAGTTCTAGAACAGCCTGTCCTATGGATTTTGACCTTGTTCACAGAGAAGGCAGGCACAGCGCCTCATACCTTTGGTCTCACCTCTTGGGAGGCTGAGGCAAGACAATAAAGAGTTCTGAGTCTTTATTAATGACATAATGAATTTGAGGCTAAACTGGACTACTTCACACATTTAGAGGGTGGTGGGGCACACCTCTAATTCCATAGTTCCTGCCCTAGGGTTAGTTACTATTGCTATGATAAAACACCATGTCCAACTTGGAGAGGAAGAGGCTGAATTTGGATTACATACTCTGACTCACTGTTCACTGAGGGAAGCCAAGGCAGGAGCTGATGCAGAGGCCGTGGAGGAGTGCTGCTTACTGACTTGCTCCCCATAGCTTGCTCAATCTGCTTGGTTGTTTTATTATCTTACATGTATTGTTGTTTTCACATCTATGTCTGTGTAAGGGTGTTGAAGACCCTGGAATTGGAGTTATAGATAGCTGTGAACTACCCTGTGGGTGCTAAGAATTGAACCCTGGATCATCTGGAAGAGCAGCCAGTGTTCTTAACTGCTGAGCCATCTTCCCAGCCCCCAGCCTGCTTTCTCTTTGTTTCGTTTTTGTTTTGTTTTGAGAACAGGGTTTCTGTGTAACAAATCCTGTCTATCCTGGACTTGATTTGTAAACCCAGGCTGACCTTGATTTCATGGAGGTCTGCCTACCTCTGCCTCCCAAGTGCAGAGATTAAAGACTTGTGCTACCACACCTGGCCCCCAGCCTACTTTTCTTAAAGCACCCAGAACCACCAGCTGAGGGGATGCATCACTCACCCAGGACGAGCTGGATCCTCCCACACCAATCACTAATTAAGAAAACACCCTACAGGCTGCCCACAGCCCATATTTCAGTTAAGGTTTACTCCTCTCAGAAGACTCTAGCTTGGGTCAAGTTGACAGACCATCCAGTACAGCTCTGGAAGCAGATATCCTGAGTTTAAGTTCTACGTTAACTGAATTTCAAGCCAGCCAGAGTTTCATGGTCAGAACCTGACTCAAAACAACAATAAAAAACAAAATTGGTGCCTGCACCAGCTCTTCTCAGTCTGCACTGGAATCAACTAAAGGCCATTGGCATGGACTTAGGCCCCTATGTGTCCCTCTCCACTGGTCTCGGGAGAGCTTGGCAAGTTAGTATTTCTAAGTTCCCCAAGATGTGTTTGATGCCCAAAACCAGGTCTTAGAAAGGGGCAGTCACACTAAAAACAGGCTTGAAGCCTGCCTTGCCTCCCGTCAGCCCCTTGACAGTTGCTTTAGTTCATGGACAGCAGCCATCTGGTATGCAGCTTAGTGCAGTTGGGGCTATCACGTGCCAGGCAGGAAGGATTCAGGAATTGCCTTGGAATTGCTCCCCGCACAGGCTGGCAGCTGTTCTTCCCCCATTTCTTCTAAGTGGTCCTTCCCTTAGAGAAGTGACAGCAAGTTCATGTGGGGCTGTCTGTGGCACACTGGGAGCAGGGACAGAGGCCCCTAATCTCAGCACTCCTGAGCAGAGGCAGGGCGGTTACAAGTGGAAGCCAGCTTTGTTTCCACGGTGAGAGCATGTTTTTTTTTTTAAAGAAAAAAAAAAAACTAACTAAGAAAGAACATCTTAAATATGCCCATCCAGACATCACTTGGTAAACTGAATCCACCAGTTTTTCAGAAACTCCAAGTCTTCCGAAAGTGGCCTGTAGGTGGAGCCAGAACATGGGCAAACTGGTCACCATAGTGGCCTTGTGGGCCAGGAGCATAGGTGACAACTGTGCCCTTGCCTCCGTACTAGGCTCTGAGGAACGTTAAGAGAAGGATCACGATGTTGCTGTTTTATGTGTGTATGTATGTCTGAGTGTCATGTGTGTTCAGGGGCCCACAGAGGCCAGAAGAGGGTGTGGAAGAGGAATTGAGAGCTACACAGTATAGGCACTGAAACCAAATCCAGGTCTTCTTAAAAAAAAAAAAAAAAAAAAGAAGCAGTAAGCATTCTTATGAGCTGTTTCTTCAGGCCCTGCATTCTGGTTTTCTGATAAGTGTCATTGAATGGACAGGCATGGGCGTTAAGTAGATTCCTAGCCAAGTGTGATGTGTATCTATGGCCCCAACCAACTGCTTGGGAGATGTAGCAAGGTTGGGCCAGCCTGAGCAATGCTCCCACTCTATCAATACATTTCCTAGCCCTTGGCAAGACACAACAAGCAATGTTAGTGAGCATATACAAGCGACTGTGTTAATAATGACAAGGAAATGAGGCTGGGACTTCCCACTCCACAGGCCACACCATATACAAGATCTGGCTCAGTGTAGCAGCAGAGGTCCGGGAATATGACCACTTCTGCCAGGGCAGAAACTTGATTTAATTTGTACTCCAGGCTAAGAAGTCTAGAGACGACAAGCCTCAGAGAACTGAACTGACACCGTTGATTAACCCACTGACTGAGGGAGAATAAAGTCAAACAACCACCCAGTGGGCTAGAGACTGAAGCACAGAGACTATGAGCCTGCTCTAGAAACTATACAGGCAAATTTAGAAAACAAACAAAACCCTGTAGAGCTAAGTATACCTTTAATCTCAGCACAGCAGGGCAGGCAGATCTGTGAGTTTGAGGATAGCCTCATCTCATATTAAATTCTAGGCCAGTAAGGGCAAATAGTGAAAACTATGTCTCAAAAAAGAAGAAGGAGAAGGAAGAAGAAGGAGGAAGAGGAGGAGGAGGAGGAGGAAAGCACACAAGCAAGCAAAAGATAATCTATTCCAGTGAGATTGAAGTCAGAAAAACAATGGAGCAAAATTGATGAACACAGATGCCAGTTGCCAGTTCCTTGAGAAGATCAATAAAGGAGTAAACCCCCAGCCAGACTGACAGACAGAGAAGACAGTGTCAGAAATGGACAGGTGTCAGTACAGATTCTACAGATGTTAAAGGACATGGGCTAGGGTGTGGCTTGGTGACAGGAGTGTTGGCCTGTTCAAGGTCTGGCTTCAGTCCTCAGTAACTGGACACATAGAGAGCGAAAGGACTTTAAGATAATGCCAACAAATACTACAGGATATAAGAAATGGTTGAATCCCATGTAAGCAAGTTCCATCACTCCAGAGTTCACAGCAAGAAAAAATAGGCTGGCAAGATGGTGGCACAGGTGCTTGCCTGTAAGTACGCTGGGTCTGAGTTCATCCATAGAACCCACATGGTGGAAGGAGCAAACCAGTGCTTAGAAATTGTTCTCTTAGCGCACACACAAGTGTTAAAAAGAGGAAAAAAATAGCCTAGGTGGCCCTATGTCTATTAATTTGAATTTGCAGTTTCAAACTGTTAGATTGGGCGTGGTGGTATGTGTCTTTAATCCCACCTCTTGGAAGACAAAACCCAGGAGAAGATCTGTGAGTTCAAGGCCAGCCTAGTCTATATATGGCAAGTTCCAGGGCAGCCAAGACTATATAAACAGACCCTGTCTCAAAAAATAAATAAATTTAAAAAGAACTTTGTTAGTGTTTGTTGCTGCCATAACATAACTGAGAAAATCAACTTCAAAAATAATTTATTTGGGGCTCATAGTCTCAAAGTTTCAGTCCATGGTCAACTGTCCATTGCTTTCAGGCCGTGCTGGGCAGAAACATAAAAGGGAGGGCCAGAAAGCTATTGAGGCGTTCTCCCTGCAGAACCAGGGCTATGAACTCACAGGTTCATGCTTCCGAAGGGCATCCTGTGACCTTTGGCCATCCAAGCCTACATGGTGACAGGCCCACCATTCTCCCAATAAAACTTGGATCAGAAGCACCACCCCTGCCCAGATTGGCACCATGTGGGAGCCACCTGATAGCCCACCCCAGGACTCTGGATGCCTTCTGAAGAAGGCAGGAACAGAAGGAGAAGACTCCCAGCCACACATCGGGTTCACTAGTGCCCTTCCCACCCGCCTGTCTTCAGGTGACCTGATAGCCCCAAACCAAGGCTTGGGAACATCGTGATGGACTACTAGTGTCCTCAAGTATCCAGGAGACTGGCAGGAGGCCACCAGCTCTCCTGCCCCACAAAGGGACTGCTGTGGGGACAGTGAGGAGCCACACAGGGACACTACCTGTCCTAAC